CCAAGCACAAATATTTGTAAGTCTACAACTGTACCTCATGGTATTTCACTAATAAAATTTTAAGAAAAAATTAGAAAGCAAATTAAATTTCATTTGGTTTGAAAAGGTACTCCAATAACTTATGAACTAGGTAAAGTCCGTCTTTAGAAATGTAACCGTATACATTTCTATCCATGTTTCGTCCATAAAGAATCCATTAAGACAAAAAAAGTTTTTTTTAATAAAAAATGGAAAGATACCTATCTTAGAAGGGGAAGAGGCTTATTTATTTTTTAATTTGGTAAGTTGGAGAAGCAAACTGGGAGGAAAAAAAAACTTATGACATCCGATTTACTCTTTTTCCTATTGTGAATGACTTTTACTCTTAAGGACAAAATGTCTTTCTATAAATTATTCAGCATAAAGTTGTCATATCCTCTCTATTTAGACTTAAATGAATATATATCAACATAGATTTATAGTGATGCACACCCAAAATATATAATATTATAATGCAATAATACATCAGCAAAATTTTCTTTTAAATTTGTAAACAAAAAATAAATATTTGATTTAAAAAATTCCAATAATTGTTGGCTAACCAAGTTGTTCGAAGGCAAAGGAGAGAATAATGAAAATATTTTCTTCCTATTCCTTTATGCCTACGATGATGCACAACACTTAACTTACTCCAATATTTTTAGGGGAAAACCTAAACATTTTGCTAGAAAACAAACAGTAGGCATAGGTGAATGCTTGATTTTAAAACATTATCTTTGATGTAAAATAGTATTTGAATATTTATGGTCATCACACTGCTGGTTGCACTGCTATTCTAACATTGCAGTATGTATTTTGTGGGATAAAGAAGATAAGTAATGACATTGGTGTCACTAAAGCCAGTTTTTGTCAGCCTGATAAAAGGAAGAAAAATATTTAGAACAATGCAATAAAAATAAGAGGCCTGGACTTTAATTGGAAATTTCTGTTTTGATTCATAACGATGTTATCTATAAACAATGGTCTAGCATATAGTTCATCAAATATTTCTGTCCAATGAAAAGACCAAACTCAAAACCAACCCAAGCACAAATACTTGTGACTCCAAAATAATGCATTCCTAAATACCAAAGTTCTTTGAGTGAATGTCTAAATATAGGTTTGCATCAGTATATGTACCAGAAAAGCCGTGGGCTAGATAGTGTAGCAAGTAAGTAAGTACCTTGCACATAGATAAGCTCTGCTTTGATCTCTAGCACCAAGAAGGCCCCCAGAGCCCCACCAAGAGTGATCCTTGAGTGCAGAGTCAGAGTTGAGAGTGGATCCTGAAAACTAGAGGGTGTGGGTGCCCAGAAAAACAACCACCATCACAACAAAATAATGCCCCAAATATGTAGTAATATTATAAAGCAAAGAAACTATCAAGAATACTAAAGACAAAGGACTATCAGATCAACTTAGAGACATTCTTTAAGCCACCAAAACAACTTTGAGCAATACTTAATTTTAATAAACTGAAATAATAATTCAAACATGTTTAAGTATTTGAAATACATACACACACACACATATATATGAGATCAATCGGACACTATTGCAGGATTTAGGGAACGAACACTTTAAAATTGACAAATAGGAAAGATTTGTACTTCCATTTATGGTAGCTAAATGGCTAATGACGGTGTTTCTCTTTACAATATGTGCTTTTTTACTTTATATAAGTAAAAAAGACACGATGAAATGTTATATTTTGTATGATCTCATGAATTAATGAATCAAAATAATGATAACCAATATATCCTAACCTCCAAACCACTAAAAAAGAAAAAAAATGGGGCCTTTGGGAGGGACCAGAAGAAAGAGTCTGTTGGAGGAATTTTAAAGTATCAATGAAAGGATTGGTGTAGTATTTCTGCAAATTAAAAAAAAAACAGCTTTAATAGTATTATAAAATATGATGAATCAATTAAAAATCATTTTAAAAGGAAGCTAAACAGTATTCCTTATTCTACTTTATTTTTTGAGCCAAATCCAGCACTCTCAGGGAGTTTTTTCAAGCTCTGCAATCAGGGATCACTGCTAGGTTCTGGTAGGACTTGGGGGCCATATTTTATGTACATGTTAGGGAATAAATCCAGGTTGGTCATCTGCAAGGCAAGTAATTTACCTATTACACTATTTTTCCTGGCACCTGTATTTTTTCTGTTACAAGTACCACCTGTTTTGGAAAAAAAAGGACCTGAATACTATAGAATCTCAATATAGAAATTTTAGTGTAGAAGAAATATCCTAGACTGTGATTAGAATGTCTATATTGGGGAAAACTGCATGAAAATTACTGTTTTTGCTTTTAAATGTCCATAACAGAGAAACAACGGTACGAAGAAGAGATAGGTTACAAGAAGTATAGGAAATGTACTAATGACTAGCAATATAGAGACCTTATGCTTATCCGAATTTGAACAATGTATAGGGCTTATGCTAATACCAATTCAAATTAGCATTTCAAAATATGAATGAGGCTACTGGATACATTTTAAAATGCACTAAATATATAATATTAGTAAGAAAGTATTGTTTATTTTCATGAAAAGCAATGACATTTTATTTTAAAATACCTTTTAGAACTTAGAGATATATGCTGAAATATTTATAAATGAAACATGCTATCTGATATTTGCTGCAAAATAATTTGTGGGCATAGAGAAGTTTGCAGGGTACAGATGAAACAAAATTGGCCATGAGTTAATAATTATTCAAACTGAGGAGAGTGTATACAGAGGTTAATCACACCATTAGTTTCTTTATTGTATAAGTTTGACATTTTCCTTCATAAAAAGTTAAAACATGTTCTTGTTTGAAATTTGGCGATGAATGTCAGGTCACTCTGAGGTATCCTGAGACAATAAAATTTATATAGCTAAAGTTAGAATGTAGATTTAAATCCTAGTAGAGACCAATTTTGATCAACTTTTATAGTACTACGTTATTTTACCAAAACTGCCCATTCTGCTCATTTCTAAATCACTCACAGTTGCCTTATTTGGCTGGTTGCAGCACTCAGGGAGGCAATCAGACAGGAATAGATGAATTTTGACTGTTTTACTAACTTTATTTTGATAATTATATCAATTGAATGACACAAGCAAATTAATTTTACCGAGAGCTTTGCCCCACTCTGTAAACAGTGCTTCTCATCAAAAACAGTAGGAAATGAATCTCCTGAGGCTATTCTCTCCCACTTCTTACTGAAAAATTCCCACAGCTGTGACTGAGTTGTCTTCATTGAAGTTCATAGCAAAAGCCAAGGGGATATAATAATACAAGTATATAAGTTACTATCTTCTATGAGAGCCCAAAATGATTCTCAGACTTAGAATTATGACTGGGAAGAATCTCTACAGTTGACTATAACTAACAAAAAACAAATATATCAAATTAATTACTTTGCTCTGTGCTAGTAAGAAACCAAAAGTTTCCAAAGTCCCTTTAGAATAGTTCAACTTACATAGAAGGGTGCTACCTATGGGAATTTCTTAAAGTATATCCCTAATTCTTTTTATCACTACTGCTCAAATCTAACCATTGATATTCATTGATATTCCTATAACAGCACAAAAAACCACTGCGATAGCTATTTTCTCTTTTGCATTTCATTAGAAACTAGGGATTTTTGACGCTCAGAAATATAAACTGTTACATTCAACCTACGTTGTTAATAGGAAGGTTGATCCTGATGAAATATTAAGACACTTATCAGAATTCAAATTATACCTAAATATAAAAAATTTCCCCTTTCAAAATATGTACTCAAAAATAATTTATATTTGACACTATTTCATATTAAAAAGATACAACTTAAAGAAACAGTGTTACTATGGACATGATAAGCAAAACTCAATGTATCTATGGTTTTACACAAATTAAAAATAATTAAAATTGTGCACATGAATTCAGTATCTGCTTTAAGATATTCTTATTAGAATATTCTTTATTAGAATAGTTAATTCTTTATTACAACTAGATATAAGATCTAAGAGAGAATTATAATTCAACTTCTATTTCATATATTAGTTACTTTCCTAATAGAGATGGTAGACATTAGAGCTACAAGGAGATATGGGGCAAGAAAAGAGAGACTGAAAGTAGAAGTTAGGAGTAGGGAATAAATGAAATGAACATGTCTGCAGCAAAGGGAAATGGGAAGGGTGATTTACAGAAGGCTGCAGGGAAAAAATGTGATGAAAAAATGCAAATTGGTTTTTGGGTAATTGATGTCATTTATAATTCATTTACCTTCAATAATCCACTGTTAATTATTTCAAGTAATGAATAATTTCAATTTGAAATTCTGCTTAATATGTTAGACACCAAGGTATGGTGATAAGATTATAGGGTCTGTTTGTATGCAAGAAACTAGGTAACCTTATTAGATAATCTGTTACATAAATAAATTCTGTTCTTTCTGTGATCTCAGGTAGATTTTTGCTACAATTTCCAGAGGAAATTAAGGCTATGTTTCATTCAAATTTCTGTTTTTAACAGATATATATAGACTTCTCTATGAAAAATAGTATTTTAGGAACTGGAGAGATAGGTCAGTGGACTGGAGCGCACAAGTAGGCTCAAATTCAATCAGCAGCATGGGGACATCTCCTGATCTTCTAAGGAGCTACTCCCAAGAATACAGCCAGGATTAGCCCCTGAACAATGTAGAGTGTACACCTAGTACTCACCTCCCCACCCCACACAAATCCATTCTAATAAATAAAGTTGAATAAAAACCTAGGTAAAGATACCATGAAGAAAAACTGAAATTTTTAACCCCAAAGCCAATCAAGTCGGAATAGACGTAGTATAGGTGAAATACATGGTTCTAGTTCCTAGTTCATTCTGTAGTCCTAAGAGTCAAAAGCAAACAGTAACCAGTTGGAAAAAGAATTCTGTTTATTATAGCCGGTAAAAGAATTCATTAGAGATTTAAAATAAAAGACAACAAGGCTGCTTGTCAGAGGACTCACCTGTCTTTCCCAGTTTCCTTCTTAAAAACACCATCACAGTAGCTCATGCGCTTCTCGGTGGTCACGTATATCTGAGCATTTGGGTACACGTCGATGATCTTTTTCAACATATTGTAAACGATGCCATTGCCGTCCTTCCTCATGTTGCGGAAAGGACCCCAAATAACATATAGAGTGGTGTTCGCCTCCTTGAAAAAGTAATCAGGGTTTTTCAGCAAGAGAGGAACGCTGGTATGGGACACAACTCGAATCATAGTCATGTGACCGACATCTTCTTCATAGCCCTTGGTGGGGGCGTTGTTCATTCTCCAAATGCAGGAGGATTGATCTATCTCATTCCCCACCTTCTGACCAATCATTTGACCTGAATTTGACACTATGGCACAAAGGTCACAGTCCAATTGCAAAGGCTGAAAAACATAAAGAGAAGGCAGAGGGAGAAACAGGTAAATTACTAAATTTCAACTTTCCAAACAAGTTCTTCTGGCGAAACAGAAAATTTCAGTTATTCATCTTGCAAGTGAGGGAACAGATCTGAAATCTTACAATAAATTCCAAAGGTTATAAAGCAAAGCGAGGGCTACAGTTCCATTAAAAATGTGAATACCTGTCGTTAAATAATTTTAATTCCCATCTCCTTGTATTGATTTATAGTTAAATGGAAAAACCATATAAACAGTACAGTTTTAGCTACTTTAAAGATTGACATTTCATTACAAAATGACTTTAAAAGAGATATAAAAATATAGAGATTTGGTCTTTTTAATTAGAGCAATGACTAAAAATTGAAATGCAAAGAAAATGTCCCTACACATTAGTTTTGTCTTCTTACTTACATGTATGAATGGTGATATAGAAGCAGATAAAAATATTCAAAAATCATTAAATGACAAAGTTCTGAAAAAGATTTGCAGAGCCCAGAGCTGCTTAAGTCCCAGGAGAGCAAATATTAGAGAACTTTAAAAAAAATCCCCTTTCTCGTTATGTTAACCGACCTTTATTTATTCTTGAAGATAAGAAAAGGTTCTTTTAAGAATTCAAGGGAAAATGCAGAGAATCTTAGGAACTGGTCTAACCATTACCCTCATTTAATTAACTGATGGCTAAGTGAAAACTCTACCTGAGCCTGAGTTTTTAGGAATCACAGAAGTAACCATAAAGGAGAGATTCATGAGGCAGCAGTAGATTTAAATCTCTATCATTTAACTCCACATCCACTGATCTTTCCATTATCCCCTGAATTATTTTCTCCTAAACAAACCAAGCCAATTCATTTAGCAATTTCTTTCCCACGGAAGAAGAAACTCACCCCATCTTTTCAAAACCAAGAAAAAGCAATGGACTCTGTTGATATGCATTTTTTTCTCATTTCCCTTGAGAGAGCCTAGAGTGGCTCTTTCAAGGTCAGGGGAATGAGACCCATTGTATTTACTGGTTTTGGCATATCGAATACGCCACAGATAGCTTGCCAGGCTCTGCCATGCGGGCGGGACACTCTTGGTAGCTTGCCAGGCTCTCAGAGAGGGTTAGGGGCTTTCAGGGCAGCCTTTAATCAATCTTAAAGGTGTTCACATGGTTCAAACCATATTAGAGCCCCATCAAATATGGTGGGGTAATCTTGGAAGATGGGTATTACATGTCTTATTAAGTGTCCGGAAAGAATTCTGGAGTGTGGTGGCGACTGGGTAGTGGAGGTAGTGGAGATAGTGGAGATCTGCCAAGGAGGTATTTATCTGGTACCAGTAGGGTGTCATCTTCCCATGTTGCAGCAATAGTGCCAAAGAGCTCCCAGTTGGTGGTCATTCTGGAAATTCTCTTCTTAAACTTTGCAGCCCTTTCTCCCCTCTCTGTGAAGTAGAATTTTGCATGAAGGAGATGGTGGTCCAATCCCATTTGGTCATTTTGGGACAACAGCGACATCATTCAGGCAAAACCATAGATTGAATATGATGTGGCCAATTTCATTGTGGAACTGTCCACCGGGAGACTCCCATGTCCAGCGTTTAGATTTGGCCTTCTGGAACTGTGAGTTACCATCGATGCTCTTGGTCAACATCATGAATTTAGACAGTCTCTCACCCTGTTCGTTCCATTCTAGGCCATGGGTCCCAATGTGGAGTTCTTTGACTCATCTTCTCGGTCCTATCTTGGCATTAAAATCACCAACAATGATCTTGCAGAAGGTGTGGTCTTCTTTATAGAACTTCTCCAGCTCCATGTAGAACTTCTCAATTTGTCCTTCATCATAACTGGATGTTGTTGTATAGACAATGAAGATAGAAACTGCCAGCAGTGAGCCACATCTATTCAAGTATAATCGTCTGATTCAGGTTGTTACGCATTTGAATGAATGGCTCATGGCCAAGATTGTGTTGACAAGGACACCAACACCTCTGATGCCTCTTTTTATCTTATGTTCCAAGGAACAGTTCTTCTCCAGTGTCAAAAACGGTGTGATATGATTGATGCCTTCTTGTCTCGGTCAGACCAATGATGTTGTACTTGATCTTTCATGCTTGTACCATCAGGTCTTGAGGGATGCATCTGAAGCCAGCATACACGCATTCTGTTTAGACAGAAGTGGTCATTGAAGCCCTAGCCAATCAGTGCATTCAAACTCAATACATCAGGATCCTCCATGAGCTGTATTGCGGATACACTACCAGGATCTCACCATTCTACAAAGAAGTGATCATTGATGTCAAGAGACGGGTTCCACAGGGTGATACCAATTCACCAAAACTCTTCAGTGCGACCCTCGAGAACGTCATGTGACAACTGGAAAGGGAAGGAATGGGAGTGAAGATAGACAGTCGGTAATTACACCACCTCTGCTTTGCTGATGACATAATTCTAATAACATCAAACATTAGCCAAGTGGCACAAATGCTGGCTGACTTTGACCGTGAGTTGGAAAGGTCTCTAGCTGAATCTCAGGAAGACAATGTTTAAGAGAAAGTCTCATTCCTGATGTTCCATTTGCTCTCAATTGAATGACCATCTCCAAATGAAACAGTTTTGTGTACCTAGGTTGAGAAGCCAACATGACGAATGACCTGGCACCTGAGTTGCCAGGAGGAAGACAGTGGCTTGGAACACCTTCAAGAGAGTCGAAGAAATAGCTAAGAGGACGAAGAACCTCCGGCTCTGGGCACATCTCTTTGATTTCACTGTTCTTCCTGCATTAACATACGCCTCAGAGACCTGTGCCCTACAAAAACAGGATGAGAAAGCTATTCGCGTATCCCAAAGAGGAATTGAAAGAGCTATGCTTAGAGTATGACGTTTCACTCAAATGAGAGAAAGAATCTGGAGTTCTGACCTTAGTCAAAAGATCGCGTCACCACCCACCTACGAGATGGTCAGACTTCTTTGTCAAGACCCTGAATATTCAGTTTGAGGCTCTTCATGTTCCTAGAAAGAGCAGAGGCCATTGGGCTACACTAGTATGTGACATGGACCAATGTAGACGTTACTGGCCCTTGCTCAAGCAAATCATGAGTAATGGGATATCAAGTGATCAAGTGATTCCTTGAGGGAAATTCCATGTTTTGTTTCTGGATTTTTATAGTGCATATTGGTTAGTAGGGTGTTTGCCTTGCAAGTGTCCAACATGGCCGACCTGAGTTCAATTTCTGTGCCCCCTCTCAGAGAGCCCGGCAAGCTACCAAGAGTATCTCGCCCGCACAACAAAGCCTGGCAAGCTACCCATGACGTAATCGATAAGCCAAACACAGTTCCAATTGTCACAATAGAGATGTTTCTGGGCCCACATGAGCAAATCGATGAACAATGAGAGGACAATGACAGTGACAGTGATATTGGTTAGTAGCTTTTCTCAGATTGGGTACTGTTCTTAGAATTTTCCTAGTTTTTTGTACTTTGTTGTTTTAATTTTATTGTTATTTTTGGTTTTTGGGCCACAACCAGTGATGGTCAGGGGTTACTCCTGGCTCTGCATTCAGGAATCATTCCTAGCAGGCTTGGAAGTCATTTGAGATGTGGGGAAAGAACGTAGGTCAGTTGAGGGCAAGGCAAGCACAATACCCTCTGTGCTATCATCCCCGGCCTGGTTCTTACAGTTTAATTTTCTATGTAATTGTGTCTGTCCAATGTAGAGTATAAGCTCGGATCAGAGCCAATGTCCTTCTTCTACTTTTTAACCCAACTCCTAAGAAGTACATGAAATACTAGTAATTACATTAGTAAATTAAACTAAAGGAGTCAAATGAAAATTTGGTAGCAAAAATATGAAAATTTTCAATTCATGTAGAATTATTGACTTAGATGAAAAAGAAATGCAAAGTAACATTAACATAATAATAAGCAAAATATAGATGTGTAAATTAAGGGGACAATTGCCTTAGAAAAGTCACCTTGAAGGCCAGAGATCTATTAAGCAGATAACCGAAAATAAGCAACTACAGGCATGGGCCTGGTCGTCTAGGAACTGGGGATTCAACTCTGGGGATTCAATTCCTGCTTCACAGGGCGGGATAAAAATAATTAAAATTAGCATGGTATATAATACATTTGGTGACTCTAAGTGCTAAATATTAAAGACAATATTAAAGCAAGGAAAATAATTAGGATGTGTATGTAATACACATGGTGTATATGTGTGGGGAGGGCAATGGCAAGAACAGGCTTTGGTGAACTTGATTTTTAAAGAAAAACTTAACTAAAGAGGTCTGGCATGGGTGGGTGGGTGGATTGAGGAAACATTGCTACCAAGCAACAATAAAACTATTGAAAATGCCTAGGGTTGGAGAGAAATGTGATCTAAAAGATTCAGGGAGGAGGGGGAGTAAGAATCAGCTCAGAAGAATGAGCGACTCATGAGGTAGAAGCTTAGGGCCTTGAGCAAAGACTGTAAGTACTTAGAGTTATATTTGACTGTTTTGGCAGTTGCATGAAAACAAAAACAAAACAAAAACAGCTTTGACTGTTGCATGGAAAATTCACAAATAGGAGTCTAGGTAGGCACTGTGAAGGCAGACTAGTGTCCTGGTTCTGAAAAGGGAGGAAGGTAGCTTAGGTCAAGGTGGTAACAGAGAACGTTTATCAACTGCTGGACATTTGAGCCAACTAGATTGGCCAGTACATACAGCATGGGTTGTGGAAGAAAGTAAGGTGTCAAGAAAATCTTCACATTGTTAGCCTAAGAACTGGGAGACTGGAGCTGCCATAAACAGAGAAGATCAAGGCTTCAGAGACACAGGTTGTGGGGAAGACAGGAGCTCATTTCCAGAGCAGTGTGAACTCATACCCTTAAGGCAAGTCTAAGTTTAAAAAGTGATTGAAACTGCTTTAAAAATATTTTCCTGGGGCCAGAAATATAGAATAGAACTTAAGTCACTTGCCTTGCATGCAGATGGCCCCAGTTTGATCCCCAGCATCAAACATGGTC